TGCAAAATTAATTTCTTGACAACCTATTGCATGCTTTAAAAATAAAAGAAATAGAATAATCTAAGTCAGGAGAGATGAGTTAGTTTGGAAGGAGGAGTGTTGGTCCATTATCCGAGGTGGTTTATAAAATAGCAATTCGGTGTAAAATTAAGTGCATAATATTGATCTATATGCTTTAACATTTCTGATTTTGTGCCTGTTAATTGTTAACATTTTTAAAAATATCAAACTAATAGAGCAACATGTTTTTGTATAAAAAAGGAAGAGAGCTCTTGTTTTAACAAAGGTTTTGGGTTTTGTTTAAGGATTTGTTATTTTTATCTTGTAATGAAGGTTCTCAATCTGTTTATGTCTTTATTAACTTAGAATTTAGCATTTTGTTATATAAATTATATAATATAAGACATAGTTGGCTGTATTAATAAATTATAATTATGTCAAGAATTAACACATTAATGTGGTTTTCAGGTCAAATTTGGACAACAGAAGAGATATCAAGACTGGTTTCAGAGACAGGTGATTAGGCTAAATTTCTAGATTGCTCACTTGTATTACATCAGAGCAATTTAAATATGATATAAATAAAACTATGCTAAGTTGGTTCCTTTGTTTAAATGTGTGAAGATAGTTATCCAAAAATATTCAGATGTACAATTGATGATGGAAAACTAACTAAAATTTATCTTCAGCAGAACTATTCTGAAGAGTTTTTAAAAGTGTGTATGGATATGAGATGCAGTGGTTTATGGTATGGGGGGCAGGATGGAGAAGTACCACGAAAGAGGTCCGCTAAAAATTATGAAAGTTTTTTTTTATATAAAAATGAAAAGTAATAATGATAATTAAGAAAATGGTGAAGTTATGTTTAATATTAAACAAGAATATAAGAATTCAAGTGGAGTTTTTATCTTCACATTTAGTTTTATTGGGCAAGCCTTCTAACTCTTCTCTTGGAGCTGTCTTTGGGCTAACTATAACTGTTTTGCAAGGACTAAAATGAACACAGATAACAAGAAATGAAGATTCAAAATATTATATGGGCAAAAAACAAAAACTATCTCTTATATACAAACAATGAGACATTGGTGTCTCTTTTTTCACTGGCTGTTGTTCAACTGCTTTGAAAGTCTGGTTGCTGGAATAGAAAGAAGTCTCAAAACACTCCTTCACAAGATAGACAGAATTGGAATCTGATGACACAACACTGTTAAATCAGACCTAAAGGCTAGTGTGGTCAGTCCGATCATACAAGAAAGATAAAAGTCCAGCACATTCTGTACTATTCCTTAACTTAAATACAACTCGCACACCAGAGAAGCAATGGTACACAAACGTAGTAAAGCAAGTGTAAGTCTTTGCAGAGCGAACATTGTGTTCTGTAATCTTTGTCTAAAATCAAGATTCATATGAACCTGGAAAAGTGTTTGTAAGTGACTTCCCTTACTAATGATTTGGAATAGTCCTTTAAGTATGTATTTTATGTATATTGTAGGTCAATGGAAACTACAAATATATAATCTGAAAGTTGGAGAGCATGATAAGACCAAAGGAAAATACTTTTGTTGAATGTTAACACTAACCTCTTAAGTTAGAATTAAAAGTGTCACACAATTTTTTTACTTTTGTAATGTATTTTAAGACATTTTCTTTGGCTGGAAATACCAGGAAAATCAATTTTATATAGTTGAAAATTTGAGATGTACGGATATTATTCAGCTGTTATATGACCATATTGATAACATTGACTATTAGAAACTTCATTTACTTCATCAATCATTAAAACAAGTATTTAAAGAATGAGAAAGTTTAAGTAACGTGCGTTAATCTTCAACTGATTCATCATTACAGTGTACCTTAAACAGTTAAAATTGTATGTATGTAAATCTTGCAAAAAGACGTTGTAAATCAAAATTGCATAGTTTAAAATGTCATTGTTTTACTTTCTTATATGTAAAAATATTATATCAATTTGTGAAGTTTTATGCAAACCACACTAAAAACAATGATTTTAGGCCTAATTAACATTCTAAGATCAGGTAGGGTGCCTAAGGTCAGTCAAAATGACTAGAAAACTATACATGCTATAAAATAGTATAACACTAAATTTATTAACTGGATCTTCATGAAAGTTAGTAAACATTACAAGTTTGTTGTATCCTAAAATCATATTTTTTAATGGAGATTTGACTACCAGTTTATGGAGTCTTTACTGAATCAGTTCAAGTGCAAAGTGATTTTGAAGCTAATAGTAAAAATACTTCTTTTTACAGTTTTCTTATTTCATTTACTTAACCTCAAGAACCTCATAAGTAAATATTGAAAGTTTTTCAATTAAACTTTGCATTTCATCACTTATTCTTTCTATCCTAACAGTTATCTGTATTGGCCTCAGTTAATTTCACCAACTTCGTAACCACCACACAACAAAATAAATCTAAATTACCCCCCTCTTTTTTTTCTAAAATGACAGCATATTGTAACAGACAAATACACAGTGTTTATTTAATCTTAATTATTTATAATTACACTTAGTCCCCTCTCAGAACACACAGGTTTTTTCTTTATGGGGATAACTCTGTATTAGCCCCCCCCCCCCCCCACCCGTGGCACACCAGTATGTCTGCGGACTTACAACCCTACGAAACCAACGGTTTCGTAGTACCCATAGTGGACAGAACACAGATAGTCCATTGTGCAGCTTTGTGCTTAACTAAGAAACAACAAAAACAACAGAGCTCTGTGTAAACAAGTTACCAGCACATTCCCATTGAATTACACACTCATGCTGAGCACATACTACACAAGTGTTTTGTTTATGTCAGTTTTCTTATCTAACTCAATAAGTTTCTAACTTTTACATTTTAGTTACTTTTATAACAACAAATAATATATATATATAAAACAAGAAATTTGGTATTTGTGTCTGAAATCTTGTCTTTCTTAAACTTTTTTACTTGTACAATAGAAGTCTATGTCAATTTCTAGGCCTAAGTTTTAGTAACAATTGTGTGGTCTCAGAAATTTGTTAAAGAAATTCTAACATGCAATTTAAAACATGAAATATTACCATAATAATAGAATGGCCTAAAACTAATGTAATTTATCTGGATTTATAACTAAGCTAGAAGCTAAATAATTATTAAGTAATTCACGTACCTGGTCAATCATAGTTCTCATCAGCAAACAAAGACAATGATGGTAGAAGGTTTAAAACTGTTTATTCCAATGGCTTCAGGCATTCAATACATTCAAACCTTCTCTTTAGTTTGTTTATAAATATTCAAATTTCAGAAAGAATTATTGACTTTTTTTAATAAAAGATGTACTTGGAGGGACGTGGCATGCGGCCTTCAGTTTATTGCTTGTATCTCCATAAAGTAAAAAGATTAGCTCAAAGATATGTATAGTATAAGTGAGAAATTACACAATCTAGGAGGTCATATTGAGGTAGAATAAAATTGAAAAGGGGCAATTCAGAGTGAAGAAGCATCATGTGATGCAGACAAGTGAAGATTTTATTTAAATATTTTCTTTTGAAATTAAGAAATTAAAACTAATATTAAAAATTGAATTATTAAACATGTTTTGGTGCCATGTTGATTATCATATATTGACAATAAAATAGTTGAATTAAATTATGAAAATAACTCTGTAAAGAGTGTGACTTAGCTCTGCTCAGAAGGTTTATCTGTTTGATATTACTCAATTTTTCATTAACGTTATTAGGAAATGTTTTGTGTGTAAGAACATATGAGAGAAGAGTACGTAGATATAGATGGGAAATTCCAGTGGCAAATCTTGTCCCCAAGCCTTTCAGATTTAATATGCCACTGATTATAATATAAACTTTCAATATTATCTATATTATATGTCTATATCTTTGTCAGATGTCAAAGATAAACGTAATAAGCTTATTTGTTATGGAACAACTAAATTTTTCTAAAATGGTTATAGAGAAACTGATTAAGTAAGAATTTAAATGCAAGATATTAATATCATGTACACAATTTTTATTTTTCCAATCTTTTCTTCATCTTAGTACCTTGCCACTCCAGAAAGTCAGTCCCTCCGCTGCGATCTCATCCGCTTCATCTGTGGAGTTATCCATCCATCCAATGAAGTGCTTTGTTCTGACATCATTCCTCGCTGGGCTGTGATTGGTTGGCTGCTGACAACCTGTACATCAAATGTTGCAGCCTCAAATGCAAAACTGTCTTTATTTTATGATTGGTTATTTTTTGATGCCGAAAGAGACAACATCATGAATATTGGTATTTAGTCTTTTGTATTCAGTCATATTTCATTGACAAAGCTTATACAATTGATTTTTTACATTTAATACATTTGCAAGTATCAAGAAAAACAAGTTATTGTGTTCATGTGCTGCTGTGAATTTGATGTTAATTTTTAAGATACTTCACAAAATGATAATCATGTTGAGGATTGTTGGAGATAACAAAAGTATCATCAACATATCTTCAACAATGTTGAGACTTGAAACTCAAAGGACAATCTCACAATATTTGTTTTTCATAGTACTAGTAGACAAGTGATGGTGTAAATCTTGTTTCATAGTACCAGTTGACAAGTGATGGTTCAAACCTTGATTCATAGTACCAGTTGACAAGTGATGGTTCAAACCCCATCACTTGTCAACTGGTACTATGAATCAATCCATACCTTGATTTGTAGTACCAGTTGACAAGTGATGGTTCAAACCTTGATTCATAGTACCAGTTGACAAGTGATGGTTCAAACCTTGATTCATAGTACCAGTTAACAAGTGATGGTTCAAACCTTGATTCATAGTACCAGTTGACAAGTGATGGTCCATACCTTGATTTGTAGTACCAGTTGACAAGTGATGGTCCATACCTTGATTTGTAGTACCAGTTGACAAGTGATGGTTCAAACCTTGATTCATAGTACCAGTTGACAAGTGATGGTCCATACCTTGATTTGTAGTACCAGTTGA